ATGTATGTATGTATATATATATATATATATATAAAACATATATAACACACACACACACACACACACACATATGTTGTTGTTGTTGCTGTGTTCCGTCGAGTTGGACCCAACTCATAGCGACCCCTCCTTGGGTTGCCGAGGCAGTATCACTACGGAAGTAGATTGCCCAACCTTCCTTCTGAGGAATAGCTAGTGGCTTTGAACCACCAGCCTTCTGGTTAGCAGTCAAGTGCCTTAGGCACCATGCTACTAGAGCTCCCCCCATATATATATATATATATAACACAACATTTGCCAATTTAACATTTTTCAGTTGTACATTATAGTGATATCAATTATATAATCATGTAGTACCAGTATCACCCATAATCATTGCCAAATTTCTGATCACCATAAACAAAAACTCACTGTTTCCTAAATGATGGCTTTTGATCCCCCTTCCCTTCCTCCCCTGATAACCACTAATAAACTTTGATCTGTATATGTTTGCCTATTCTTATTGTTTCATACAAGTGATATATAATATTTGTCCTTTCAGAATCTGAGTTTTCAGAAACAGATCACTGGGCTTTCTTCTAGGTACCTCTGGGTTAGCAGCCAGAGTCTTAACCATTTGCATCACCCAGGGACTCAGTGTGATACAAGAACCCTTGTCTTCTTGCTTTGCTATTATAGTGCCACTACCAGAAAAGACCATAATGAATGCTGTTAAGCTTTTTAAATGTGTGGTTTATGATTTGTCTCTTGAGTTTACATAGCAGGATGGAGATGACCTTTCTGAGAGACCTTGATGCTTCTCCAGCTTTTTCCTGTCAGTATTTCACAATCTTTTTTCAAGTTGCTCTTACTCCTCTGTAGGGCTCTCAAAGGGAAGGCCTAAGAACTGGTCCTCACCAGGAGAAACTAAACCAGAGGTGGGGGATAATTGAATTCCGTGGACTCCAGAGCTTTGTGTCCTGAAGCACCCTGGGATCACTCTGACCTTTGTTTTCCTTTCAGTTTCTGGAAACCTGGGTCCCAGACCACCAACCCTGTCAGATCTGCACATGCCTCAGTGAGAGGAAGGTCAACTGCACATCACAGCCCTGCCTCACAGCCAGAGGTGAGAGTCCACTCCTCCTTGGGGCTCTTGGAGGAAGAAGAGCTTCCAAGGCTATCCAGCCACCATGTCTTCACACCTGTAGAGCAGATGCAAACCTTGGGCCCCTCGATTGATTTCTATGACTCAGCCTGCATCTCTGGTGCCAGCCCCACCCTTCTTTACCTCATTAGGTTTGAGGATACCCATTCTGGGCCTAGAATGGACGCTCTTACAGTTTAACTCTATTCACCTGTCCCTGCCTTGACCCTCTGATTTATAGCCCCCTGGAGGGTAAATTTGACCGTGTCAACAGGACACACAAGGGAGAATCATTTTATCAGAGGTCCCATGCCTGATTCCTCATGGGCCTCCCACATAGGCTCTAGGGTGGTTTTCAGTGAATGAGAGTCTGCAACATTTTTGCCCCTTCTTCAGGTTGTACCATTGTTTATTTCTCTCTATCTTAACAGCCCTTCTTTCATTCTAGCTCCCACATGTGGCCTGTGTGAAGTGGCCCGCCTCCACCAGAATCCAAACCAGTGTTGCCCAGAGTATGAGTGTGGTATGTAGCCCACCTTGGACATTTCTCCAGGGTCCAAGTCCTAGCCGTAGATGAACTGTGTCTTGGCTGCTGGGAGGTAGATGTAGTCCTATGCACTGAGAGTTAAATGGTGTCAATTTAACTGGAAGTGGGTAAGGGCTGATTGGATTTTCCAAAAAATGGAAAGAATAACCTCTGGGAAATAGGATTTATTTGCTAGAAACATTTTGCAGTGGGTTATTAAGTGTAAGCTTGAAAGCATTTAGAAAAGAATGGCATGCTTACTGGGGTGAGACGTCACAGAGATTTACTTAAACAGTCATACCAAAGTAATCCATTTTCCTTTTCAATAAAGTTCTGAGGATATAAGACCTAGAGAAGGCCACACACAGGGCACTTTGATTCAGCAAGTTATTTGTCAAAGGGTTTCATGATAGGTTTGCACACTGAATCATGAAGAGTGGGCTGAATAATGGTATTATGAAATTAATTCAGAGCTGATGGAATTAAAGCTAATATGACAGGAGATCTCTAGTGCCCTTATCCCTGTCCTGTCCAATGCATTTGTTAATTTCATGGGTAAAGCTATAAAGCATGGCTTGTAACATTGGCAGTGATGCAAATCTTCCAGGTAGAACAAATAGATCAACAGACAGTACAAGGCTCTAAGAAGAATGAAATAATCTGAGAAATTTATTAATGCTGATGATATTGATCATGGATAAGTAGAAGTCTTACAGGGGAGGGAGCTCTGACTTGAGAACAAGTTGTGTAAAACAGGTCTAAGAATGTTAATGATAGAGAGAACTGGAGTAGTCATGTAGTTTAAGTCCCTCATTTTGTGGACATTATTATGCTCCTGTACTGTGCCAGGCACTTTGTATACATTATTTCATGAACTCCTTAGACTAGCCCTTTAAGGTAGTATTCCAACCTTACAAAAGAGGAAATTGAGGCATACAGGGTTCAAATGATATGGCTGATACCTGGATATCTAGCAGATGATAAGTAATCAATATGAGCTTATCATATGACTTGGATCTACCAGTTAATCTATGACCTATCTATACAACCCATACGTTGATCCATCCAGCCACCTTTTTCCTTTCTTTCTTTCCTCCCTCCCTCCTTTCTTTCTTTTTCTTTCTTCCCTTCCTCCCTCCCTATCTGCCTGTTGTTGTTGTTGTTGTTGTTATGTGCCATCGAGTCGGCCCTGACTCATAGCGACCCCTCCTTGGGTTTCCGAGGCAGCATCACTACGGAAGCAGGATTGCCCAACCTTCCTTCCGAGGAGTGGCTGGTGGGTTTGAACCGCCAGCCGTCTGGTTAGCAGGCAAGTGTCTTAGCCACTATGCTACCAGAGCTCCCTATCTGCCTATCTATGTATTAATCTATCTATCACATCATTTATCACCACCAATCTAAAGGAGTTGAAGTCTGCATGTATAGGAATGTAGGATCCCACTCATACATTAATAAAAATAAAAATAAACAATAAAAGAGTAGCCTTCCTGACCTCTGAGTGGACATCTCTCTTTCCTGGTCCTCAGTGTGTGACCTAGTGAGCTGTGACTTGCCCCCCGTGCCTCACTGTGAAGATGGCCTCCAGGCGACACTGACCAATCCTGGCGAGTGCAGACCCAACTTCACTTGCGGTAAAGTCTCTGTGGATGAGGAGGAGCTAGAGTGGTCACTTGCCTGGGCTGGGCTGGTGTCCTCCTTCTTAGGAACTTGTTCCAAGTCATCTCATTATTCATATATGTGATTTCATGTATTCTAGTTAGCTGAATCTGGGTTCACAGTATGTCTGGAACAGAGGGGATAAAGTCATACCTGGACTGAATCCTCTAAAACATCCTTTCAGCTATATGCTGTTGAAGATGTGTCAGAGATGGGTACTTCCTTTTTAGGTCATATTAAGAGGCATTTGGGCTTGATGTGGGGAGGATTCCAGAAACCTGTCTTTATTTGCGAGGGACTGTTCCCTTGGCTTATTCTCATCATTGGGTCATATTCTTGAACAAATGTATAGATTTTTTTTTCCACTGTAGGTTTACATATTTAATAATTAAAGCTATACTTTAAGCATAGGGTTAAATTAAAGTAAGAAATGTCAAGAAACTAAATTCTGTATTTAGCTATGGAGAATACTTACTCTAAGTCAAGTGGAGTTCTTGTCTTGTTGATTTAGCCTCTGGCTGCACTTGAGTTCTAGATGTAAGACCTTGAGTTTGGAAGGTGAAGACATTACATATGATATAGTTTGGGAATAGGCAAAGGATAGAGGGATAGGATTTGGCATTTGTAAAATGATATTTAGGACTTGACAGGATGGCTGGCATTCTTTTATTCAATATTGTTGGAGGAGTTACAACTGCAGAGTATTGTTCTAGGTAGTGAAGTGGGGATAGCCCAGCAGACAGGATCAAATAGGCTACCAGCATATAAAAATGCTTACCAGCTCATGGCATGGCCAGACCTTCCTACAGTTACTTGGGTCTTAGAGATTCTATGTTTGGGGTCCCTGGGAATCAATAACTGGAATGACCCTAACTATTCCAGATATACATGAGAAGGTGATAGAGCAGGATCTGAACAGCCTGCACTTCTCCATGAGAATTCCTAGCTTTACATCTCTCCTTTTGATTAATGTTTTTGTTCTTCTGCAGTCTAACAGCTTTTAGGTATAATTGAATGTCCTGCAGCTTCTGAGCTGGGCTTACGTGCATTGCTGATTTGATATTCTGGGTCTAGACCTTACATTATAACTGAATATTCATGAACACTGGCTGGGTGCAATGCTCGTGTGGCAGGACTAGTGGCATCCTTGTGCTGCATCTTAGCCTGCAGAAAGGAGGAGTGCAGAAGAGAGTCCCCGCCCCCCTGCCCTCCACACCGGACACCGACCCTTCGGAAGACCCAATGCTGTGATGAGTATGAGTGTGCATGCAACTGTGTCAACTCTACAGTGAGCTGCCCACTGGGCTTCCTGGCCTCAGTGGTCACCAATGACTGTGACTGTACCACAATCACCTGCCTCCCTGACAAGGTAAGAGCTGTTGGCTCTGGCTGGGATGATGGCCAAATGTGTGCTCCTAATGGAAAATTCACCTTTACCCAACCTTCCTGTCCTGACCAGACCAAGAACTGTATGACTTGGTGGGCAGGCAATCAGAATACCATCTTTAGCCTAAATGAAAATTAGTTAATTCAGGAAGTATAGAGAACATATTATGTGCTCAGTATGGCTAGGTGCTGAGTTACAAGCAATGTATAAGACACACTCCCTGCCTTGAAGAACTTATTTTTATGCTAGATAAGGAAATAGTAAGATTTCATGGATCATTTAGAGAGTAGTTAATAGTTTACTAATTTTTAATTGCCATTAATCCATCCATGCGTTATTTACGGACAAAGTACACTAGTACTGTGTTAGGTGCTATGGGAGAAATGTAAGATTCAGTTCCTATTTGTGATCTTGTTAATACATTTCAGAGAATAATCTATAAGCTGAATACAAAAAAGTGTCAATGGATAGGATAGATATTAAATGTGAACAGTAGTCTCATAGCAAGAGATCCACCAAGAGGAGCTATGCTGTTGAGTCAAATCCAACTCATAGCGACTCCTTGGGTTTCCGAGGTGGTATCACTACCGAAGTAGATTGCCCAACCTTTCTTCTGAGGAGTGGCTGGTGGGTTTGAACCACCAGCCTTCTGGTTAGCAGTCAAATGCCTCAGACACTACGCTTCCTTGGAAGGAAGGTTGGGCAACGTACTTCCGTAGTGATACTACCTTGGAAACCCAAGGAGGGGTCACTATGAGTTGGGTCCAACTTGACAGCATATAACAAGAAGGGGTGAAAGATGGGACTTGAAATGAGCCAGAATTGCAGTAGGAAGGCCTGGGAATAGTCACACAGTTTGCTGGGTTGAGGGCAAGTCCTGGAATGAATAACCAAAAGAGGCTGCAGTTGTCTTTCCCTGGAGCCTCTTAGGGCAAGAAGAGACACTCATTTACCTATCATTCTCTAGACCTCTTATTCCTGCTAGGTGCTCTGTCAGCTCAAGGTGTCTAAGGATCCAAGTTCTACAGAAGCAGCTGCAGGTCTAAGAGGTGGTAGTTGCTGCTGCTTCTTTCTCCTCTTCTACCTCCCTCATTGGCTCTTTTCTTTTTCCTCTAAATGTTTCTTATATCTTTTTAATCTATGTTGTTGTAATCTATGTTGTTGTTGTAATCTATAGTATGTCCCAATTTTTTATACCCTTGGTTTGTTGGAGAAGCTAAGTTGTTTGTCCTATAGAATGTCATACATTCTGGATTTAGCTGATAGCTTCTTCTGGTATTGCTTGATATGCTTCTTCATCCACTATATTTCTAACAAACTGGAAGTTAGACCTAGTGGACTAATTACATTCAAGTTCAATTTTGGGGTTGGTGGTGGTGGCAAAAATACATTGTAGGCAATGCTATGTATTTCCTATTGCATCGTACCCCAAACCAAACCCACTGCCATCAGGTCGATTCCGACTCATAGTGACACCCCATTGGGTTTCCAAGGTGGTAAATCTTTACAGGAGTAGATTTCCCATCCTCCTTCCATGGAGCAGCTGCCAACCTTCTGGTTAGCAGTCAAATGCCATAGGCACTGCACCACCAGAACTTCTTTTTGCATTTTACCAGGAGGCACATATGTTCAGTTGTCTCACTTTTAAAGTTAAGACTGATTACTGGGTTCAGATTGTATCAGACTTTTCGCCAACATAAAGGTTCCTCCATTAATATTTTAAATAATACTTTTAATATGCTTTGATTACTGTTGCCTAAGATTCCTCTGGTAGCATAGTGGCTAAGACACTTGCCTGCTAACCAGACGGCTGGCGGTTCAAACCCACCAGCCACTCCTCGGAAGGAAGGTTGGGCAATCCTACTTCCATAGTGATACTGCCTCGGAAACCCAAGGAGGGGTCGCTATGAGTCGGGGCCGACTCGACGGCACATAACAACAACAACAACAACAAGATTCCTAATTACATTAGGGATTGAAAAATGGTGACTTTTCACTATTATTTGTCTGCGTTTATTGTCAATTTTATTTCTATAAGGAAGAACTTTCTTCCAATCACTTTTTAGTAACCTTGAATGGAGTTCCTTAGGGAATGTTGTTGTTGTTAGGTGCTATCGAGTTGGTTCTGACTCATGGCGACCCTAGGTATAACAGAATGAAACGCTGCAGTCCTGCACCATCCGTACAATCGTTGCTATGTTTGAGCTCATTGTTGCAACCACTGTGTTAATCCAAATCCATCTCATTAAGGGTCTTCCTCTTTTTCACTAATCCTCTACTTTACCAAGCATAATGTCCTTGGTCTTGCCTGATAACATGTCCTAAGGAGCGCTCTGGTTGTACTTCTTCCAAGATAGATTTGTTCATTCTTCTGGCAATCCATAGTTTATTCAATATTCTTTGCTAACATCATAATTAAAATGCATCAATTCTTCTTCAGTCTTCCTTGTTCATTGTCTAGCTTTTACATGCATATGAGATGATTAAAAATACCATGGCTTGCATCAGGTGCACCTTAGTCCTCAAGACCTTTAAAGAGGTCTTTTGTAGCAGATTTGCCCAATGCAAAACATTTAATTTCTTGACTGCTCCTTCTGGGGGCATTAATTATTAAAGTAAAATGAAATCCTTGACAACTTCAATATTTTTTTTTTTTCATTTATCTTGAAGTTGCTTATTGGTTCAGTTGTGAAGATTTTTGTTTTCTTTATGTTAAGGTGTAATCTATACTGAAGTCTTTGATTTTTATCAGTAAGTGCTTTAAGTCCTCCTCACTTTCAGCAAGCAAGTTTGTGTCATCTGTATATGATGGTTGTTAATGAGTCTTCCTCCAGTCCTGATGCCACATTCTTCTTCATATAGTCCAGCTTCTTGGATTATTTGCTCAGCATGCAGATTGAATAAGTATGGTAAAAGGGTACAACCCTGGTGCACATTCTCCCTGATTTTAAACTATGCAGTATCCCCTTGTTCTGTTTGAACAACTGCCTCTTGGTCTGTGTACAGGTTCTGCATGAGTACAATGAAATGTTCTGGCATTTCTTCACAATATTATCCATAATTTGTTATGGCCCACAGAGTTGAATGCCTTTGTATAGTCAATAAAACACAGGTAAACATTTTTCTGGTGTTTTCTGCTTTCAGCCAAGATCCATCAGCAGTGACATCCCTTGTTCCAAATCCTCTTCTGAATCCACCTTGAATTACTGGCAGTTTCTTGTTAATATACTTTTGCAATCCTTTTTGAATTATCTCCAGTATAATTTTACTCACATGTGATATTAATAATATTGTTTGATGATTTCTGCCTTCCATTGGATCATCTTTCTTGGAATAGGCATGGATATGGATCTCTTCCTTGGCATAGAAGAGTGAGTACTTTGGGATAGGCAGGAAAAATGCTTAATTCTTTTTCTTTATCAGTTTTCAGAGTAATGAGTTGAGGACCTTGCAACTTTCAAGGATGATCAGAGAGTTTGTGTATGTGTGTATGTGCTTACTAGTAACATTATAAATACTAGCCTTCTTGTTAGTAGTCAAATGCCTTAGGCACTATGCCACCACAGTTCCTGAGACACAGAGTATAGGGTGTGTTTGAGGTACATAGGTACTTATGTATTTGATTTGTTTTAATTCATTATAATCTTTATTCTTTTTGATACTCCAATTGTTTTGTCTGATGCAAATGGGAACCCCCTAAAAGTTGATTCGGAGACCTTTGACAAGGCCACATCGGCCTTTGATGGCTTTCTGAAACAACAAAGTTTACCAGGCTCATCTTGGACGTTTCTTGTGCCAGAACTAGAATCAGACATTTCACCAAGGAGGAGTAGTACCTTTTAGTGGAAATGATATTTAGCCATTACAATCTGGGTGCCAGGATCCTTATTACTCATGGGTTGTCATTGTCTCTAGATATTTCTGGCAGACAGAGCCTAGAAATATATATTTTTAAAAGAGAATAAAAACTCATAAGTTCATAGAGATATTTCCAATTCAAATTTCAGACTATAGGGTTTACTTAACTTTTCAGATTTTATGTTTGGATCATTTCTCTCTTAGTCTGAAAACCTTGGCTGCAAACATAATTACTTTTTGCCTTTATCTTACAATATGCCTATAGTAGTTTCAAAAATAACTACCAATATTACTGCTAACAATTTAAAACTATTATTAGCAGCTAGGATTTCTTTGCATTTCTTTTTGTCCTAAAAATATAACCTGTTAAAGATATACAGTCAGAATACTTGGTTTTAGTATCACTTGGCAGGAACCCTGGTCAGAGTAGTGGTGAATGCACTTGGCTGCTATCCAAAAGGTTGGTGGTTCAAACCCACCAGCTGCTCCATGGGAGAAAGATGAGGTAGTCTTCTGTAAACATTTGCAGCCTTGGAAACCCAATGGGTCAGCTCTGCTCTATCCTATAGTTTAGCTATGAGTCAGAATTGACTTGACAGCAATAGATTTTTTGAACATCACTTGAAATAATTATTTTCTCTGTATGGTTATGCCTTTGACTTGATATCCAGTTAGTCAGACATTTCAATTTTCAATTTGTAGGAGTTGCTTATTACTAGACTTTAAATTTAATTTTTGTTGTGGAATGACTCCAAAGCCAAATTATAAAGCATCATACATTTCTCAAAGGCTTACCTCTATCTCTGTCTTCTGTACTTTGTTTTTTCTCTCTCCCTATAATTTATCATTTTTATTCATTTTTGGTTTATCCTTCCATTGTTTCCTTTTGAAAATGTAAGAAGTACTTTTATATTGATATTTTTCCATTTATTACAAAAAGGATAAAAAAACCCCAAAAAACCAAACTGACTGCTGTCAAGTCGAATCCGACTCATAGTGACCCTTCCTTGGGTTTCCAAGGTGATATCACTATGGAAGTCGATTGCTCAACCTTCCTTCTGGGGAGTGGCTGGTGGGTTTGAACTGCTAACCCTTCTGGTTAGCAGTCAAATGCCTTAGGCACTACACCACCAGAGCTCCTAACATATTATACATTCTTCCCTGAACTTTGCTTTGTTTCATTTAACTATATTTGCTAGTGATTATTCTGTATTAGTATATAGAGATCTTCCTTATTTCTTTTTACAGCTGCATAGTGCTCTATTGCACGAAGACATCTTAGTTTATTCAAGTAGCCCCCTATTGATGGACATTTGGGTTGTTTCAGTCTTTTGTTATTACTAAAAATGTTTGGATAAATAGCCGTGTTCATCAGTCATGTGTTTTTGCTAGCGTGTCTTAGGCATAGATTCTTAAAAGTGAGATACTGAGTCAAATGATAAATGCACATGTACTTCTGCTAGATATTGCCAAATTCCCCTCCATAAGGTTGGTAACATTTTCCAACAGGATTCTTACTAAGTCTCACTCAATAAGTTCATTATACAGAAGCTAAAAGACTGAGTAGATATGTGATAATAGTTTAAAAATATTTGTACTACCCTTATGTGAATGTGTTTGGTTTTGTTTGGTTTATGTGAATGAGGATGGAGACCTGTTCTGTGTGATGATTTTGGAGGACAGACTTGGGACTAATTTAAAAACTGTCATTAAGTCCCCTGGTCAAACAGCTTCCTTAGCACTTCATCCCTACAAAGTAAAGTCTAAACTCTGAGTATGGCAGGATTCCCAGCTAACCTTTGTAATCTCATTTCCTACATCCCTTCCATAGCCTGTAGTCTTCCAAATAGGATCCCTTGTCCCTCAAACACACCCTATACTCTGTGCCTCAGAAGCTGTGGTGCATAGTACCTAAGGCATTTGACTGCTAACCAGAAGGCTGGTGGTTCAAACCCATCAGCCACTCCTCAGAAGGAAGATTGGGCAATCTACCTCTGTACAGATACTGCCTCAGAAACCCAAGAAGAGGTTGCTATGAGTTGAATTGACTGGACAGCAGTGAGGTTTTTTTTTTTTTT